TTCCTCCCTTTATCCCTTTTCTACCCCTTCGGATCCGAAATACCGTTTCCGATCTTAAATGTAATTTATTACACTTATTACATTTATTGCACTTATTGCATTTCGTGCATTTTTCACGTGATCGGTCACGATATTCGGTATCACGTTATCCGTCGTCACAGTATATTTAACGAACAATCTAATTACAGTTGTTATCATTATTCCTGGGCACTTTCACGTCCTAACTAAAGTTCCATTTCTAATCGTAACTCATACAAATATTAGTTAGGCTTTTCTTCTATTAAAGTTTTAAGATATTTATATCATTCAGGTTTAATAGACGCATTCATATCTTTGAAATTAGTGGGTTTCAAAGTTAGCAAATAGTGGCGCATTTTGAAATTAAATGAGTTTGAAAATTTTAAAATCGTAATGAAGATCCCAATTTTAACGAAATAAATAGACTAAGTGTTTAGCAGTTGTTCGAATTTATAACCCTCCTAAATTTTTTTTTGACTGAATATGCTTCGAAAGTATAATACTTAACTAGAGTTATATCGATATCGGTTATCTGGTCATTATCGATTAATAATTGTCACTGCAAATCGATTAGCATCTACGTACGTACCTCATCTTTATAAATAATAAACATTTACATTCAGTGTTGGGCAAATCAGTGATCAAGCAAAAATTTGCCGGTCAAATTGGTCTGGTCAAATAGTCAAACTGGTCTGGTCAGCCCAACACTGATTACATTGATCACGCCGAAATCAATAACTTATCGAATCTGCAGAATAATCACTCGGTTGATTTTTCACAAGGTGTCCCAGGAAAAACTGCCAAAGTATACAACCGTAACTTTTTTCAGATTAAAGTAGTTTGATATTTTTTACAGAGGGATCACCAAATTTCCGAGTCGGATCCATCAGGCATTTAGAAATACGAGTTAACTATTTTTGGCCAAAATTATCAGCTGGGCAGCTTTACTTAATGATAGACCATGACTTCATTAGTAAAAACTTTTAGTGACCTTGGACAAAATTAGTTAATTCCGGCCTTGCCGATCATGTTTCTTGTACATATGAGTTTAGTGTGATGTTCATAAAATCGACCAGATTTGAATGTACTCTGATAATCATACGATACCCTTAAATTAATTACCGAATATGGTAAGGTTTAACAAACATATTTACAGCCACAAGAAATTAACCATAAAAGCTAGCATAACGATAAGGATTTATCAAAGCGTATTCGATATTGTATTCTTTTATATTAATATAAATAACACTAATTCAGATGTACGAAAATCACGTTTATTTTAACTGAATTAAATCACCATTACTGCATTACTGGATCATAAGACAAAAATAAATGTTTAATCTAACCAAATTCGAATAATTATTTAACGTGATTGCATTTCCAAAGACTAACCAAAAAACGGATGCACATACAACTGTCCAATAAAATTTGAGGTTTCGAACACCTGGTAAAGGGATAGTTGGATGTTATACAAAGTTCGAAATGATGTCATGATCAGTGTTTAAAATCTGAGACTAAATCAGTGTTCTCATGTTTTATTTAGTGGTTTTAGAGTCAATTTTTGGGTGTTCTCTAATATAAAAAATCAGCTTTCAGCTGTTCTTACTCACCAATTTGTGTTCTCATGATAACTCTGAGAACACTAATTTCGAACACTGGTCATGATGACACGCAGGTTACTTCTATGGTAACTTATTTAGCATTTATAAAGTACTTTTTGGGAAAGTAACGTTACATTAACGTCATTTCATGCTTTGAAAGAACATCCATTCTCATTACACCACTGATGTAGAAATAAACAGTAACCCGAACTTGCTTAGTTGCTATTTTATAGCTACATACGAGTACCAAATGCATCGAAATTCCAAATAAAACAGACGGTCGAGACGTTTAGTGTAAGTTTTGACCCTAAAGACGAGTTATGTTAATAATAACACTCTAGATATTTATCATCTTATATTAATTTAATGTTACAAAAGTTAATTTACAGGCTCTATAGCAGATAAATAATTACGAGTAATGCTGTTTGATTCATAACATAGAAAACTAAAGATGTAACGAGTTATCTCTAATAAAGAATTGAATTATTGTTTAAAAATACACGTTAAATTAAGAACTAATAATGTGCTTAGATGTGAAGACCATATTAGAGGTGAGAATCGATTCTACAATCATCGGTTTAACCGTTAATTGATTCTTATTTTTGTCTATTCTAAAATATGCAATATAATCAATTGTGCGTCTTCCAATATAACCAATTATTGCGCTTTGCAAAAAAGTGGAACACTACAATTTTCGTGATAACGATAATGGGAAATTTCGAAGATTCTAAATAGTCTATCATCATATATTCAATCAGTAATATTTCTATTTTTGAAATTTGTAAAATTCTCTTAGAATCGAAAAATTGCCTAATTTCCTGTGATTTTACATGATATCATTATCTGCGGGGCACAGTTTTTTGCAAAGCGCAACATTCAGTTAAAGAAAAAGAATAAAATGAAATAGGTTAATTAAATTGAAGTGTTTTAACCATATTGCGTTTGTTTAAACTTTAAACATATTTAATATACACACTTAGAGTTCAGACCTGAATTTATTCAGATATCTGGTTTACCATTGATAAATGGATGACGGATTTATCCGCTAAATTCCGTACATCAATCGAATATTAAATAGATGTTTACACAAGTTTACTTCACTAATATGAACATTGTCTGCCAATTAGATTGCTGGAAATTACTAATACTGTACGCGAAAGACTAGTTTCTTATGCTGTGACATTTTAAAAAACACTTTTTGCATAATCTTGCATTATCAGTTGAGAGACATACTGAAACTGGTAACTGGTCTTTATCACATAATAATGAGAGGAAACTTTAAAACCCAACGTTATCGCGATATATTGAAATTTCATTGGTTTATTTAAATAGATAGATTTTTTAAGCCGATTGCTATAGGCACACAACTAGTGATGTGCCACGTACTGTACGCTAAAATTTTTACCGATCACTTTTATATGAATCATGTCAACCAATCAGATCAATAGAAACAACTATACGTACTGTACGCTAAAAAAAAACATGAAAATGACATCACTACACACAACTATAGATGTTGGTGAAATTTCTTGGTGAATGATGGTGAAACTGATTAAATTAGGGAAATTAAATATGGCAACCGCCTTATCGACACTGCTAATGACTAACACTAATCTTAACGACACAGCATTGCCAGCATTGTCGTTAAGGTTAGTGTTAGAAGATGGCAGAATTAAGAAATTAGTTCACCTTTTCTCCTTTTTTTTAAGGGAAACCTACCGTTCACGTGATTTCGTACCTACCAATTACTGGTATATGACCACAGTTACAAAGAAAACTTTAATGCCCGAACAAATAGTGTTGAACTAGGAACGATGATTTTCTGTGGTGATTATAATCCTGCTGTATAAAAATGATAAGTCAATAATCATCCAATGTATTCTAAGAAATTTAAAATAATAAAAAAATTTTGACCTTTTAATTATTGAAAAAGAGGTTATCAGATTTGAAAACATTGTAAATTATTAGATTTGACAGGTTATAATTTTGTTTTGAAAGTTCAACAATATTTGTTTGCACAATAAGTTGTCTTTAAATTACAAATGTTATATAGTTATGTTCAAAGTAAATACAACCTACTCTCGTTATAGTGAAGTTCCGGGGCTAAGAGAAAACTTCTTTATAGCCTATATCGTGAAAATACTATACGTACGTCACTATATCGGGTTGAGGTTTAATGATTCAAAAATTCTTCAATATATCGAATCTTTGCTATAACGAGATGGCGAAAGTCGTAAGATCTATGTGTATATGTCTTAAGTGGGAATGGGATTTATTTAAATTGGGGTTAGGGTTATAGTTAGTGATGTGCCGCGTACAGTACTATACGCACTGTACGCGAAAATTATTGCCGATCACTTCAGATGGATTCTATCAACCAATCAGATCGCTAGAATCGACTATACGCACTATACGTACTGTAGGTACTGTGCGAAAAAAATTCTAGTATCATATAAATGGCACATCACTAATTATAGTGTATATATGGCAAAATCAACCCCAAAATGCGGGTTATATATAAAATTCCGAATCCACTTAAATTCCGTTTCCACCTACAACATATATACGAATTTAACTGTGGTATACTTACGCATGTATCTATTCATCGGTATGTCTAGTGATGTGCCGCGTATAGAACTGTACGCAAAAAAAAGTTTTAGAATATTCTAGAACAAATTATAAAACCATTCATATCTCAAAAGTTTCCTTATGAAACCGCCTTTTGTATTCTAAGTAAAATTATTCCTTGCGAAATTTTGCATATAGATAGTTTATATATCATACGTGTACTATACATATTGCACATGCTATACACACTATACGCACTATACGTACTGTACGTACTGTACGCTAAAAAAATCCAGATATCATATAAATGGCACATCACTAGGTATGTCAGGTACAAAATCACGTGAATGGAGTGCATGGTTATAAGCGGAAAGTCTACGGACACGTACCAGTTACATGACCCTAAATGTTATGGACACGTACCAATCGCCGATCTTAGTTTAGGGTACGTGTGATTTCACGTGACTTGTACGTGTCCGTAGACTTTCCCGGTTATAAGTCCCGTGAATCACCTGACTTTAGAAGGTCGATTCTCTAGAATCTCAAATACATATTTGATTCACTGTTTTGAGCAACTGCTTACGTAATGTCTATCCATTCTCAGCCAGTCAGAATTAATCATGGTTTATTGTTATGTAATAAGCATAAGTTCGGAACGGGCCGGTCCGTGGGCTGTTTTGGGAGTTAATCCGGGCCTCCCCGAAATACTAGTAATATGATAATTTTTATGTGGCTAAAATTTGGGAAAAAAAGCCAAAAAAACCACGTGAGTCGGCGAACCTTAAGACCATATTAAAAAAGATTATTAATCAAATGTGTAACGAATCTATAAGCGATGGTGTTGTTCCCATTGGAGCTAAACATAATTCAAATTTGGCAGATGAAACTAACCTCCTCTTTGGTAGGAAAAAACTAATATAAAATGTAATACTGCATTTATTAACTCGATCGAATTTTGAAAAACGTTGGCGCTTTTATTTGTAGATCGTGTAATAATGAATTTTCGTTGCAAATAGGAAGGGCAAATCCGATCCAGTCCGTCCAGTCCGTCCAGTCCTAAGAAGACTGGTCTATTAATGGTTATGTTTTTCAGTCCAGTCTCGGACCCAATAATAGTCCATAATTATTTAAACTTCTAAACATAGCAGAGAAAATCAAATCATATGATGTCGATAATTGAAAATAACACATTTTTTTAATTAGCTACTTTAATTATTCATGAGGACTGGTCTCAAGACCGAGGATCAGTTAACCATAAGACTGGTTAAAAAGACTGATCCATCCTTAGTTGTAAAAATTTTGAGATGTGAAGACTTAAAGCACGTATTTTCTACATTACTAGAATATTTAGACACACTAACCAAATGATGCAATCAATTATCACGTGAAATATTTATGTTAAGATTTATGTTATATGATGTCATTGAACATGATTATGAGGCATGATCGAAAATCTTGCACGTGATATCACTAGTCATCAAACATCCATTTCTCTGCTATAATTCTATTATCTGATTCAATATATGCGTATTGTGCATAAAGCACATTACCAAGAACTATATCGATATTTTTCAAACCACTATAACTATCGATCAGGTAAACAACAATTAAAGTACTGTGTATAAAAAAAAAAATGAATAAATGAACGCAGATGAAACGAAAAAAACAAGTTGGAAAAACTCAAATAAAAATTTTTTATCATGAATAAAAACCATTTTTTAATAATACTATATATATATATATATATACAAATTTATACTAGCACAGGTAAGTTTCTATATTTAAATGTACGAGATGTGTTGACAAGCTTAAGAATAAACTTTGTCTACTTTGCCTTAATTTTGTCGAGAATTAGAGGATTCTCTCCATAATTTTTTAGGATAAAATGGTTTGTTCTGTATACATATTTGGAACCATTCAGGAACAAATTATTAAATATATAAAGATTCGTTGGATGAAAGCAATTTTAGATATCTTTATTTGATTAGTGCTATATTGCCATGGTTTGGGTATACGTACGCACGTATTACTCGAACTAAACCATATATCGCTATGCTGTTCCAAACTGATACCAATACAATTACATTAGACTTTAATGTATTGGTATGATTTTATTTCATTTGTCTTTACCAAGGTCCCAATTTTTTATTTTTTATTTATTTATTTAGGCACAGCTTGAATTTCCGCATCAATATAAGATTGGTTGAGCAATTTCCTTTTTTGTAAAAATATGCAATGTGGCGGCTCACGATGACGTATAAAAAGGTTTGAATAAACATAAGCTTTATAACTTTTAAATTTTTATATTAAAAACTTTTAAGGTGTGTATGATTTACGTTTTAAAGATGAATTATACAGACTTTTTAACTTTAATTCTTAAAGTCTTATGATTTTATCTTTTAAATATGTTTCTTTGATTATGGGTTCCACTATACAATTTATATTCAGAGGCTCACGGGTAAGAATATACAAATAATTCTTTATCTATAATTATTTAATCACAAAGCTAAAAATTAAATGTTATTTAATGAATTCAATTTTTTTTTTAATTTACTAGTGTAGTAGGCTGATAATATTAAAATTCATATGGATTGGTTTCAATTGATGAGGATTAAAATGATATTTATCAACAATTACATCGTGATGAGAATTAATGATCATGAACATTTTTAAAATCGAAAATTTTGTATGAAGACGAATAGCACAATTCTCATTAATTCATGTACGTTCATATTACTGGAAGGGGATATTAATAGTTACAAACCTTTTAATATTGAAGTTTTAATAACTTAAACCGAATGATGATTATGCGATCAAATCAATACGTCCTCTGATGAGAAGCAAATCAGAAGAAAATAAAATAGTTCCTATGCAACAAAGATTTAAGATTTTCTTTCGGTTGTATAAATAAGGAAGTTAGAATTTATATTGTTATCTCGATTTAGAAATTAGACAAATAGTAATCCAAGGCCATGGTAGTGGTCGAAAATTTTGGAGATCTACAATTTTATCACCTTAGCCCTAAAGCAAGTGATATTAAAGGATCGGGCCTCTTTTATACATACAAACGTATGAAAAAAACCATCATTGGAAATCATCTTTGAGGTAACTTTGATTTATTCTAATGTTTTCAGGTGGAAATGCGTTGATGACTTAATAGAACCTTTTTTAATTATTCAGTTTTATATATTATGGGATGATTCCGGGCCTCTAAAGAATCTCAAGAAATTCGGTTTCAAAAATAATTTTCTTGTGAGTCACTGGTAACTTTTTGGCAAGTTCTTTTATTATCGGAATTAAGAAAATTCTTGAATTGGTCTAGATGAATTTTGTGAAGGATTATAATTAATTTTTTATGCTGGTTGGATTTTTTTGTTTTTGAAGGATTAATTTGAAAAATTCAGGCCAGAGCTATTTAATGATTCATAATTTATTATTAGTGATTTTGAGTATATCACGGATATTATTAGATTATGTTGATAGTGATGACACGCTGATGTTGTCAGTTCTTATTACTTTTAGATAAAATGATGAATAATTCATTCGAAATTTTGGAAAAAATGTAAGTCTACCATTCTTCTATAGATATAGCTAGTACTACATTTAAAGTTGTTAAGGTCATTACCACAATTTATGCACGGCCTGTCGGTATATGAAAAGTTGATGCGATGATTTCTGACTGGAGTCAGCTCTTCAATTTGACCAAAATAAGGCTAGATTCTTGGTCGATATTTAATACGAGAATTTGGAATATTTTTAGAAATATGCGACATCTTGCACAGGACTCGTTGTTTGTTTTGCATTCTAACGGATATCAGAATCAAAAATTTTTGGCAATGTTTCAAATTCTATATTTAGACGTGGTATGCTTTTATTTAAAATCTTTGCTACAAAAATGATTCGTCTGAATTTTTAATATTAGTCAAATCTTAAATTCACTGGGATTTTTTTAAGATTCACAAAAAAAGATGACGAACCATATTACATGAAGACCAGAGGATATAAAACTTAGCCGCATGATTTACATCGTCTCAAAGTTCATTTTCTTAGCTGAGATTCCACACCTTATGCACATGCTCTGCGTTTTATGAAATAACAAAATTTAAGTGATAGATTTTACGCGTAAGTGAACTAGAAATGGGCAAGCTAGCATATTGCCAGGTTTGTTGATTTTATATATTCACATGGGATGACAATTTAGCTTTTTTCTTTTTTGATTCATTTTATTCGATTTCACAATTTTTTTTGATTCATTTTATTTGATTTCCGCATTTTGTTTTCTTTCTTTATTCCGCATTATATTCTCTTCTAGTTAAGTCAAAGGGGTAAGAATAGTGATGTGCCGCGTACAGTACTATACGTACAGTACTGTACGTGCTGTACGCTAAATTTTTTGCCGATCACTTTTTCCAGCCAATCAGATGCAGGAAAAGAACTATACGTACTGTACGTACTGTACGCTAAAATTTTTCAGGTATCATATAAATGGCACATCACTAGGTAAGAACCGATTCAAATTTCCTTCTTTTCTGTTTTTTTGTTTTCGCTTATTTTTTTATTTATTTATTTTATTTTTTTTATACCCATTACGATCATTATCCTTATTCTTATTTTTTTTTTTTTTTTTAAACTGGTTAGATTGATTTAAATAGCTTTTCAAATTTTCTATCTTTTTTAATTGCTTGTTGATTGTTTTCTCGACGAAAATTTGACCAATTATGCTCATATTTTATATTCGTCGATTGATACAAATTATATTAGTGACACCAAAGGAAAACCGGTTAAGTTTATGATTTAGTATTTACTGGGCTCAGTCCTGACGAACGATATATGTAATACGTAATTAAATTTAATTATGCATCAAATATGTCGTTCGTCAAGACTAGAGATGTGCCATTATATGATACCCGAATTTTTTTCGTTACAGTACGTACAGTACGTATCTAGTGATTTGATTGGCTGATAGAAAGGATCGGCAAAAATTTTCGCGTACAGTACGTAGCGTACAGTACGTATAGTATGTACGTGGCTATAGTACTGTACGTAGCACATCTCTAGTCAATACTGAGTCCGATAAATAAAAATCATTAAGCTTAAAGTCTGATTTTCCATTGGCGTCAAAGGCTGTAATTTGCATTTTTCATTATTTGTGTTTGAGATCAAGGAATCAGAGGTTCATATTTGCGAAAATTAATTTTTACTAGTATGAATCTTTAATTTTTTGATAGCACCTGTTTTATAAATTTTTTTCTGATATATGTTTCCCGGTTCTTTATTTTCTATAGTGCGACTCACTTCATCGACTTTCACCTTGCAGAAATTAACTACGAGCTTGTTTACAATCATTTAAAGCTATTCTCAAATTTGCTACTTTCGCGATCTCTTCAGGTCAGTCCTAAGAATCACAAACCCTTCGCGACTATACCGTTATATTCAGAACTTTGCGATATAGTTTCGAAAAATATTAGTTGTCTCTGAGTGTCCGATGTTAAATGATATAGGCCTGATGAATTATATTCACGTGATCATAGCCAATAAATTATATAATTTTGATGATCGCCGGCGAATCAATATATACGATGACCCTAACCCTAAAGAAAATGCCCCCATTTAGACGTCCTCCTTTTTTTGGAATAGTTGCGACGCAGGTCCAGGATTTTATTTGTCACACGTAGTACCTATCACTATACATGAGCTGAGTGCTACAAAATTGACAAAAAAAAAAAGATCTTCGAAAAATCAATTTTTATACGTATAAGGAATTTTATAATCAACCATAGAAAATACAAATTTCAGAGAGCTACATATACTGTAAGATTTTATTATTGCAAATGATTTTATGTTCTAAATAAAAGATGGACCTAATATTACTTTAAATTAATTTATGTAAAAAAAAGTTTTTTAAAAAATTGGCATTTTCCTCCCTTCTTGCAACAACTAATCCACATAATTTCGATTCGAGTAATATCAACAACTTTCGGTTCTTGGGATCAGAATCAAGTTTAGGGTGAGAAACAGTTTTTAATATTTGGATGAAATCGATTTCGGCAACAGAAATTCGAATTCCATTATCTGTCCATTCTAAATTTTTGTCATGGAGTGCGAAGGCTACTAGAAAATTTTGAAAATTCACAAATTGCTTATCTTTAATCAAAATAAAATTTTGTATGTATGTATGTATATATGTATGTATTAGAAATAGTTAGAACCAATGAAAAGAGTGTAGAAATTAGCTAATTTTGATTAATAATTTCAACCCAGTGCTTCGTTTTTATTGGCTGAATTAAATACATGTTTTGATCGTATGTTCTGATTTCTTGATACTAAAAAAAATCGGAGCTTTAATAGCCAATAGGTATATTTCTTTTTGAAAATTTTAAATGATCTGCTTAAATTTGATTAATTCAACTGACTAACGCCTAGTTTTCACAAACTAAATAGGAAATTTGATATTATCACACTGAAATTTGGAAATTTGATCCCTACTATAGATCTTGTATAATCCATACGCATGATATATATGTTGGCTGAGTAAGTTAGTACCAAAAATCAGCTGATTAAATTTAGGCACTATCCATCAGAATTGCTGATTCATCTAATCTAAGGTAAGAATGATAAATATACCGTATTCTGTTCTCCAATGTATCCGGTATGACAAATAATATTGATCAATTTTTAAAATATTATTTATACATCATGTGATGTGTAATATACGTGATTTAAAATTTTTTTCAATTGTAAAAAATTGCATCACATCGAGTACTTTGGAGAACGGAATACGATAGATAAAAGATTATTCATGATTTACGATTTTTTAAACTGTGAATTTTGAAATTTCAGGGCTTCATAATTGATCGACCTAAGAGTGCTAATAATAATTCGACACATTATTTTTAATTGGCTACGAATATATATAGTTTTACTTCTGTTAGCATGCCTAGACAATCGATCTCAGGATTACTGGTTAAGATAACAGGTATGTATGGTTGTACAGGAGATTTGACATAACTTAATTACAATATAAAAGGTTACAACGAGTCGGTTTTAATATAATTTGGTATTATGTCATAATTAATGACGCAATTACTCCTGCATCATCAATAGGTATGTATAGTCAATTATCTGAAAAACTTTGACGGTTTGATTAATGCGCAGAAAATTATAAAATTTGCGAATTGCACATCCCGAAATAGAAATACTGATGAAT